TCATCAAACTGGTTAACATAGCCTTCATGGCATTTTCTTAGTTATTGTGTTAAGACATTTATATTCTGCATTTATAAAGATTCACATATACCCTTGTAAGATGAACCATAGGATGTTAGATACTTTTGATATTTATTTAGATATTGATAAGTATCTATAAATTAAATGTCCTTAAAATCCACTCAAGTATCACATAGTATAAAAATGTGTTACTGTGAAAAGTAATTTATAAAGTAACGTTTATTCATCCACTCATACATTCATTCAACAAATGAGTACCTGTGGGGTGCCAGGTGCTGTTCCAGGTGCTCAGGATAAAGAGGTGAACAAGATGAAAAAAGTGCCTCCACCTTTCAACAAGTAGAAAAATAGCCATTATCAGCTATTAAATCTAATCTCTGTTCCTTTTCTGTTTTTCTCTTAACTGATTATTACTCCAAACATAATTGAAAATTATGTTGGAAAATCCTTCAGGAACTATTTCTGCTGTCTAGGAATACAGGATTGGCCATTTTGTTGGGCCACAGTCCTATGACCTTCATCACAGCTTTTAAATAACTACAGTGTCATTAAATTGATAGCAGAAATATTAGATTGGGATTCAGTGGTGGATTTGTGTCCATGTAACACTTTTCATAAAGTATGGCTCAACTTTTAAACTTTTGAAATATAAAGTATTAGAATTTATTTGTTTGAAGTTTATTGGTACTATATTAATACCTAAAGATCAGGTGTACAGCATATGTTTTTTGGTTTTTTGGGTTTTTTTGAGACGAAGTCTCACTCTTATTTCTTGGGATGGAGTACAATAGGATGATCATAGCTCAGTGCAACCTCAAACTTCCTGGCTCAAGTGATCCTCCTGCCTCAGCCGTCCAAGTAGCTGAACATGCCACCACAGCCAGCTAATTTTTCTATTTTTTATAGCTATAGGGTCTCACTCTTGTTCAGGCTGATTTCAAACTCCTAATCTCAAACAATCCTCCCAACTTAGCATCCCAAAGTGCTGGGATTACATGTGTGAGCCACTGAGCCTAGCCTAATTTTTATTTTGGTAGTATACAAGAATGCATATCCTAATGGCATACATTTATAAAATACAATTTCACATTAATGTTAAATTCAGTAAATGCAGAGGTTTACAACCAGGACATATCAAATAAAAAAGGTAGATCTTTTGGGGGGAGAAGGGGTGGAGAGAATAATCAGCAAAAGTCTGGGGGAGTAAGAGGGAGCAAGAATTAAACAACTTGAACAAAAACGCCTTGCCACTAGTTCCCTGTGCTACAAATCTGGGACACATTAGCAAAAGTGGTTGAGTATCTCAATAAGCGTGAGTATGAAATAAACACATTGAAAGCATTTGTTTTCCATTTGGCTTGTGCTACACTGTGTGAGGTTTCATGGTATCTGATGCTACTGTGTGAACCCTCCATTGTACGTACAATGTGCTGAGAATTTAAGTCGGTGAGGAAGTCGCCCATTACTATCGTAGCAAATGAATGTGCTTACAGCTGAGTTTTCCCAATGATCCTTCTTCATCTTTGTCATTACTTTGTTACTTATTTTATACTTAAGGATGCCTGCATCATGTTACGTTTTATAAAGACAATGCTAGTCCTAATTTCAGTGGTGCAGCCAGTTTGCTCTTTGATTAGCAGGGTAGTCTTTTTTCTTCTGTCTCTTTTTTTTGTGTGTGCAAAATAATATTATTGTTAATATTGTTAAAGAGAGGCTAAGAAGATTTTTGTTTTGTTTTTATATAAAACAATTAGTAGTGGCATTTTATTGTCAAAAATATTATGAATCAAAGGAGAGCTAAGAAGAGGGCAGTTGTGCCAGTGAATATGCCAGAAATTTTGGCAGTGTGTACACAGAAATAGGTGGAAAACAGAACGAGTTATAGCAGGAAATATCTGTTAGTAGCTTGTTGGGGTCAATAATTAAGCAGAAGGAAGATCTGGGCCACAAAAAAAAAAAAACCAACGATATTTTATAAATGGTGCTACCTGTTCAAATCAGCGACTTTTATCTACAAAACATGACCTTTTTCTTGTTTCTGCTCTCTCTCTTTCTCTTCTTAGCTGTTGGAATAGCCCTACCTTGCTACACTACCACCATCCTGCCATCTCCAAACCAACATTTGTTGGTAATATACATATTTATAATATCTAAGTCAAGATTGTCTAAGTCATCCTTTTCTTCATCTACAAAAGAAAATTCTTTCTCAAATGGGTCAATTCGGCTAGAGTCATGTACTCATAAAATATTAGCCATAGAAGAGGACTTAGAACATGAGTAGATCAATGTCCTCAATTTATACTGGAAAATACAGAGTCCATGGAGAAAAAAATGCCATTGCTTATGGTCACGTAGAATAAAAATCCCACTTCTGTGTTCTTTTTAATATAAGTAAGCAAAATCATACATCCGACACATGAACAATTGTCTGTCTGATGTTAGGGGAGTTGTCTGTGATTATCATATACAATATAGCCAGGAGACATTATATAGAAAATGAAAATTGTGGTGCCTGTCAGGTGTCTAGCAAATGCTTTTGAAATGAATAAAGGAATGAATGACTATCAATATTTCTTTAATGAAGCACAAGTTTGCAGTTTGCTTCATTTTTATTTTCTTAGATAATGTATTTAAGTGGAGGCTGGGGGAAGATTCTCCATGATCAGCTTGATGCATCTGTTCTAGTTGAAATTCAGAGACATGTGCTAAACAGACTAGAAAATGTATGGTTGCCATTGTTTCTCGCAAGTGAACAATTTGCAGCACGTCAAAAGATAAAGGTATGTGAATCAGTATAATCCTTGGATAGCAATTGGCAGTGCCTGTCAAAACCTCAAATGTGCATACCTGTTGACTTTGCCATTGAGAGTGGTTACAAGCATGGAGTCTGGCTTCCCAAAGTTTGGGGGGGATGTCTTTTTTCTCTTTTTATTACAGACAGGATTTCACCCTGTTGCCCAGGCTGGACTGCAGTGGCATGATCATGGCTCACCGCAGCCTCAGACTCCAAAGTTGAAGGGATCCTCCTGCCTCAGCTTTCTGAGTAGCTGGAATTATAGGCGAATTATAGGCACATACCATCACACACTTGGTTTAGATTTCCAAGTTTTAATCTCCAAACTGCCACATATTCATTGTACCACCTTTAATTTTCACAAATTAGTTTTCCCATTTGAAAAACATGGAGCTAGTAATAGTAATTGTTTCATAAGGTGCGTAAGAAAAAGAAATGAAATTAGTATGTGTTTAGTTTCTTAGTATGATGCCTGGCATATGGAAACCACTCAAATGTTATATATTAATTTAGTTGTTTTTAAAAATATTACTGAGTTTTTACACAAATGGATGAGGGTATACAAGGATATATACTACAGTATCATATGGGAGAAGAATTGAGTTGAGTGAGTTATGATAATTCTGTACTATGGAAAACTATGCAGATTCCCATATAAAATGAGATTAAAATGTAAACATGAGATTTCCACATGGACCGACAGGAAAGATGCTATTTATTGAGTAGAACAGAACCGTGTATAGAAGATAATCTTATTGCATCTACTTCTATCTCTGTATTTGCCCATCCGTGCATGTCTGTCTGTTCATCCCTCTAGTCACCTGTTTATATCTATGTTTGTGGTTATGGAAAAAGGTTTAAAAGGAGCTCCCTCCTGGGACTGGGTCTGGGGAGTGAGAAGGATTTTTACTTTTTACTTTGTAAGAGGGGTTCATTTTTGCTTTGTTGTGTTTTTATTTTATAAGAAGCATTACTTTGTTAATTGAAAATGTCTTAGCATGCTTAAAAAAAGACAAACCTAATAACACGAGGGTCAGAAAACATGTAATTTGTGGACTTCAGTATGCAAAGTCACATGCCATTAATACTGTCATAGGGAAGAACCAGAAAAAGTTTCCCTCTCTTCAATTTCCCAAACACTTGGAGGCCTGTTTATCTGGAGACATCTTGAGTCATTTCAGCAATGTGTGTTCTGGAACATACAGTACAGCTGAGAACACAGAATTTTTAGTGTGGAGAAGAGCTGATTTGTTTCAGGCAAAAAGTTCCTGGAAATAAGCTTTGAGAAAACTCATGTCTCCTCATTTCCTTTCTGCGGGCTAACTCCAATTCTCTATCCAAAGCCACGTTAAAGGACATTTGGCTTACTAATGTTATTTACCACATTTTTTCTTTTTATTTGCCACAGTGATTTTACTGTAACTCTTAGTCATTCCTGACTTAGCATTTTTTGGGTGGCCAGCAAAATAAACTGATTATAGCAACCTTAAGCCAAAGACAAAAAGTAAGGGTGAGAATTTATTATAAAATGGTGCTGGGGCATTTCACACACTTAAGGGAAGAGTTGATGCCCAAGCTTTAGAAAAGATATCAGCCATGACAGCCCTAAGAACCCAGCAAGAATTCTTAGATCTTTTCTTCTGGCTGTAGGTGTCAAAAAGACTCAGTCCTGGTGATTCCAGTTCTTGTCTCCAGATGAGTTCTTGGATTTATCTGCTATGAACAGGGAGAGAGAGTCAATAGCACTCTTGGCAAGAGGGGTTCCCCAAAAAAGGGAAGTATGAATAGGCAATAACTCTAAGAAATACCTACCATATTTCCCTGCATTTAGAAGAATAACTTTCATACTCTTCTAAAGTTGCAGAAATACAGGTCTAGAAAGTAGAATAAACATCTGAGAAGTCATAATGGTCTCTCCATCTTCTGTTCTCATGGCAGCCCATGTGAACCATCACCTGCTTTTGAGGCAATATGGTCAGGTATTATTATATCTGCTCTGTAATGAGGAAGCTGTGCTTGGGGAATTTGAGTAACTTGCCCAGGGACCGTGATAGGGCATCCATTTCTAAGTTTGATCCTTTTTCTCCTGAACTGCACTATCTCTTTTCAAGCTGACCTTTACCTCATTTTTAAAATTTAGCTATTAAATTAGTAAGTGATTTCAAAACTTCAGACATTCTGAATAACTGGAACGAAACCATTGGTTTTGTGTTTAGGTACAGATGAAAGACATAGCAGAAGAGCTCTTACAACAGAAGCATGAAATGAAAATTGGGGTCTGGAAGGCAAGTAATACTTATTACATTCTTCCACTTGTAAGTTTTGCTGTGTCAAAGCATTGTTGTTGTTGTTGTTTTAAATTTCAGGTTAATGTAAGGGTACAAGCAACCAGATCACAATATTTGAATTTGTTAGATAGAATCCCTTCCGTAGTTGTATCCTGTACCCAAAAGGTGTGCCAAGTATTGTTTCTGCTTCCTGTTCTCTATTTAAAGACCCTCTGTAGATACTACTGCATTTGCTCTAAACCACCAAATGATGACTGATGAAGTTCTTAATTGGTGAACAGAGTTTGGAGCAAAATGTGACTCTCCCAGAGCTCTATTCTTAGGTTCTTGACCTGCTCAACCTTAGAACTGTGTGATTGCCTTTAAATATGTACTTTTCTTTATTCTACTTGTGATGGATTTATTGAGACAAGACGTTTATTTTAGCATATGATTGTTTATTATTGAAAGTGGATTGCACAAAAAGAATGAATAATATGCAGTGGAATCAGCAGGTTAAATTAACTTACATTATCCCCTTTATTTAGAATTATATTGTAGCTTTAAAAGAATTAAATATCATTTTGGTAATTATTAAAACCACTATAATATGATACTATAATGTGCTAGAAATTGCCTATTTTGCTATGTAACAAGCATAATAAACAAAGTCTTCTCTTTGAACCTACAAGTTTTTATATATTTATCTTTCTTTAGGTCATGATAGAATGTCTAGTTAGACCTAGGTGGCCCTCTGAAAACTGACAAAGAAAAAAATTTATCTGAATAGTAGAGAAATATGTGTACCTGTTAGTATGTTCTTTTCTTTTCTTTTCTTTTCTTTTTTTTTTTTTTGAGACAGTGCCTCAAGCTGTC